AAAAACATTAATTTTAGTAAAAAATTATGAAACTTAAACGGGTTTCCATGGAAACCGCATAAGACTTTACTCTTGAAACATGGTAGCAAATATTGGTGCCCAAATGCGAGACCGAGACGAGTCTTGGTCTTGCAAACTCAGTCTTGATCATGGATTTGGTCTTGCGCAAGAGTCTCGCAACAGTCTTGCAGTTACTTATTAGCTTCTTACTATAGAAGTGTTACTGTAAATTTTTAGGTAGGAAAAATCTAACTAAGTCCGAATGAAAAATTATAGGAGTTAAATGCAAAAGTATATTGGTTATACCAATTATTAACGTATAGTAACTAAGATTGTTATTAGTAACTATTTTGCAAAGTGCAAGACCAAGACCTATTTTGAGCAACATTAGTAGCAAAGTTTAATACACCATATCGTTGCAGATATTGGTTCGATTCGGGAAATTTATTTTGATAGATAGGCTATTTCAATCTTTTTTTTCATCGTTAAGATTTTTTAACTTTTAATTATCTTGGAAATTTACAATAGTTACTATATAAGAAACATAAAATTTTAAAGTATTATAAGATGAAGACGTTGGGCATATTTTATCAAAATTGTTAACAATCTCTCCTCCCCTCCCAAAAAAAAACCACAAACAAAAATAAATATATATTTACATATTATAGTAGCTACATAAATACAAATACTATGCCTTCTAAATAGCCGAATATAAGGTACAGAATTATTTATGAAGCTCTGGTAACTCACTCCTACCTAAAGAAATAATTGGTACACTTTGACTTCTATATATATATATATATATATATATATATATATATATATATATATATATATATATATATTGGAGTAGAAAATTCCAGAACCTTGAACTTTGTAGAAAGGTCAAAGTTAATACGTCTAAAACTATTCAAGGTATTCGAATATTTTAAGGCGGGTAAGGTATTTTAAAATAGTTCAAATATTATCTGTTAAAACTCATTATATAAATGTACAATTCCACTTAGAAATAATTACTTACATTCCAAATACTTGCAAAAAAAAATACTTATAACAGATAATATTTGATTTATTATTTCTCCGTCCATTAAAAGTGGAAGAAAATGAGAAGTAAATTAATTTCAGAGCTCAATTTAAATCTTTTGGATTCCATAAAAAAATGTATGGCTTCTTTTATTTCTAAAGCGAATCCTAATTTTTCAACAATTTTTCAGGCAACGCGAAAAAATATATTTTCTATTCAAATTCTAATTTTAAAACCAATATTTTTTAAAAAAGAAATTAAGAAATTCTTTGGTTATGCGACAAATTTAATTTGAAATAACTGACTATTCCAGCAGTAATAAAATAAAAAAGCATTTAAGACCGAATAAGGTTCCTTTTGGAAAAAATTAACTTTAAAATTATCTTACATCCAAGTTGAAAGCAAATGAGTTCTTAGTAACTAATTAAATATACAAACTTTGCACCCCTCCAGATTAAAAAGGTCGCAATTCCAAGAGTTTTAGTAAATAAAATAGTTGTAGATTAAAGTATTTATTAAGTTTCAGACGGATGTTAATAATTCGATACTGTACCACGGACTATTAATTAATATTTAAAATAACGTATTGTTTTGAGGGACCAGAATAAGCAATATATCGGCAAATAGTTGTTTTTTTTTTCTTTTTAAATAATATTTGAGTATTTAAATAAGCGAAAATTCGAATTTTTCTCAAGTTTTTCCAACAGCATGGAAAAATACTTTTAAGTATCATTAAAATGTTTTCATTTACGTGTAACTACACCGCAGACAACCTGAAATTATCCGTTTAAGACATAATACCGCAAATGATCGTGAGAATTTTCCGCAAAGCTTTTCTATAATGCAAGGAGTTAATAGCAGTTGTTCAAACGAAGTGACTGTTAAATCGTTCCAGAATTTCTTAGTTTATTTTTTCCTTCTAAAGCCTTCTATGCTAGTTCATATTATATAATACAGTTTTATTTATATGTATCTATATATATTTTTTATATAATTTTAGTTTATTTTACAAAACACGTTATATATTATAATAAAATATATAATGTGTTTATATAGTATATAATGAGTTATGTAGTAACTCCAGCACTTACTAGACAAACGCTCTAAGCTTTCAATACATTACAAAAGCCTCATATACATGATTATAATAAGGACTATTTGGATTTACGGTATTGAGCTTTGGGACCCTACTAAACCATCAAATTCCTCTCTTATCCAATCCTTACAATCCAAAATCCCCTGTAAATTCTTCAATGCTCCTTACTTTGTCACAAATAAAATCATCCATAACGACTTTAATGTACCATATGTTTCCGATTTAGCTCAATCCAGATACCTATACTTTCATAACAAACTTCAAAACTATCCGAATCCTCTCGTTTCAAACCTTGTTTCCTCTTCGATACCCTGATAACCCACCAAACCGACTGAAAAGAAGATTGCCTCGCGATCTACTTATGTAAATATATTATTAGAATGCTGCCAATGGGTAGTTTCTCAATAAGCGTTTTCATGTGTTTGTATTGTTCCAGTGTACTTATTTACTAGATATTTTTTTATTTTGCAGTTGTAAATATCATAAATAAATAATAAAAGAAAAAATTGTATTGATAATTAATTATTTTTTTATTTTTTAATGTTCAGAGAACCATTGAAATTGATAAACAGTGTGCTCAACTCATTTATAATTTATTTTATATAAAAGATAATTTATTTGTATATTAAAATTGTAATATTTTAAGTAAAACATTATAAACATATGATACAGAATGATATAATATATATATATATATTATATATTTAATTTTTATTTTACATTTATATTACCTCTATTATTTTATTTTTCATTAATAATTATAAAGCAAATAAATTATTTCTTACAATATTTTCTGCTGATTAATAGAATCAATTTATAAAATAAAATTTTAATATTTCTAGATTAATGCCCCATAAAATATTTAAATTTTAATGTATTTATTTTTGTTAATAACACGATTTAAAATTGATACATTGATTCAAAAGAATGATAACATTTCATTTACTCTAACTAAATCTGTTGATTGTTACTTTTATTATTTTTAATTATTCCTTACTTCCCTCTTTTTCATAGAATTAAAAAATCATAAGAAATTTCTTTTGTGCTTAAACAAATGTATTTATTTTAAAAATATATATTTTTGTTTTCTAAATCAGTTCACATTAATTCCATAAGACATAAATACATTTATGAGCTTTTAACATTTAAGTTTTTTAAAATTATTTAAATGGCAAAGTAGATGAAAATGAAATTATTTGGTTTCTAATTATTTATATAATTTGAACTGTAAACTAGAAATAAAAAAATAATGCAATTTGAATATACTGCACTCAATTAATATTTATTAAAAACATTTTCATAGCTTTGATATGAGAAATTTAAATACTACCCTTTTACCATGATATAGATGCCAAAATTAGCCATTCAATTGATAAAAAAAATTATAATTTATACGAAAACTAAAAAAAATACTATATTTTTAATTTTTGAATACTCATATAATATTGAACAAAGAGATGGTTCAGGGTGGCGTTCATAAAAAAACTTAAAACAATAAAAGGAGAGAAGAATAGTCGGGGTGATCAGTCAAATAAGAAGGCGAAAATAAATGATAATATTTATTTTGACATTAGTAAACGTTTCGACCTGAAGTTCAGGCCATCATCAGGGCTAAGGAAAGAACCAGATAACAAGGTATGAGAAACATAAGTAGTTTAGGTAAAAAAATTAAAGTGAAATTCAGTTGTTAGAATAATGACAATAGTAAGAACAAAGAGATAAATGATAATAAGCGGTACAAAGTGTGGAATGATGAAGTAAACAAAATGAAAAAAAAAAAAAAAAGGTGACATAAGTATTAAACTGGGAATCTTAGAATAAAATGTAAAAACATAAAAATATGAAGTTATATAAGAAATGGAAATAAACAGTAAAATTAGGATATTGTGAATAGAATAGTTAGATAAAAAACTGAGATGTTGTAAAGTCTATCAAGATGTACAGACAACGTATAATATAATACAAAGTTAAAACAGAGCAGAGGGATGAAAGGAAGGAGGAAGGAAACTGAGAAGGCTGAAATAAGAAAGAGAATAAAAAATAAAAATAAAAATAAAGAGAAGATTATTGTTTTTGAAAAACGATAAAAAATATTTTATTTTAAGCCAACGTTTCATTTTCTTCACAACCCTTTACCATTATTATTATTATTATTTCTTTTTTATCCTTCCATCTATTTGTAAATTTATCCTACCATACTTTTTAATTCATTCCCTTTCTTTTTAATCAAGATTTTTCATATTAAATTCATGATTACATATCTCAGCAATCCTTTTTGTAATCATTATTTCCTTTATTTTAATTCTGATTATTTAGTTTTATATTTTAATATTCTAAATACTTTTATATAACTTATTTTTACACTGTTTATAATTTTCTTAATTTTATCTAAATATCTTGTAACTTCCAAAATTTTATATATCCTTTGTGTCTTGTTCGTTTTGGTCCTGTTGAAGACCTACATAGTTGTCTTGAAACGTTGAAAAAAGGACCAGCTCTCTCCTCAATATTTTTTAATCTTTGCTTTACGGTTGAAATTATCGATCATTATTGTTCATACTGTTCGATACATCATCAAAATATTGTTCTATTCGAGTTTAAATAAAATTCATTCACAACTCGAACGCCTTGCAGCGGCTAAGATTCGATGATAAAAGCTATGATTAACCAAAGCCAAGCAATGTAATTAGAGCTTAGAGGTTGGTTGAATAATGTTCGTTTAGTGACGTCTTGTGGTTCATTAATAAGTGGCACAAAAGCCACATGGCACTTCTATTGTGTTTACAATGTAAACAGCCATTGTCTAACTTTATAACAATTACCTAAACAAATATGTATTCACTCTATCGCCCCTATGTTAAGTGTTATAATTGAAAAGCTTTACCGTACAGAATATCTTTAAAGAAAAAAAAATAATAATAACGATATAGTAATAAAGCTAAGCTAAAACGGGAGCAAGATAAAAATAAAACAAAACCAGCGATTTTAGACCGTTATACAAGTTAATAGCTTGCTCCGTGCATGCCAACAGTCATTTTTTGTTTCATGATTAGGCAGCCACAACTCAATATATATATATATATATATATATATATATATATATATATATATATATATATTTATATATATATATATATATATACAGAGAGAGAGAGGGGGGAAAGAACGATCGATGACTATAAATAGTTGATCAACTCATGTTTTATGAGTGGTCAATTCAGATATATAATTAAAAAAGAAATATTTACATTTTTAAAGATTATAAAAATCTATTAAAATACAGAAAAAAAAAATCGGGTAAGAAAATGGCCCCTGGGTGGAGGGTCATAAAAATACTAAAATAGTAGAAAAAGTATTTAAAGCCACCGTTTCGACCAGACTTTGCAGGTCTTCTTCAGGGCTAGAACGAACAAGATACAAAAAGGATACAGAAAATTGTGGAAGTTATATATCTAGATAAAAATTATAAACAAGGCGAATAAACTTATTGAAATATTCATCAAGAATAAAAAATATAAAAAAATGATTAGATATATTTTTATATGAAATTTGTTTTCATGTATTATGAGAAAAAGTAGTACAAATAAGTATTTGTGCCAATTTATTTTTTATTACAGTTTTAGAGTTTTATGGTGCTCTACAAATTATATAAAAAAAATTCAATTAGAAACAGCTATTTCATTTGCCATATACTTTGAACTAAAATGAACTCATAGATGTATTAATATCTTAAGGAAATAATATATTATTTTTTAATACTATTAAGCGGAGGAAATAATATAAAATAATTTATGACAATAATCATCAGATTTAATTAAATTAGAGTATTATTATTCCTTTGAATGAATCTATCAGTTTTAAGTTACTTAAAATATAATTCCTCTTTAACTTAATGTTGGCTTTCTAAACAAACAAACAAAAATCTGTATCTATAATCATATCACAAATAAAAAATAATTAATTGAAGTATATATATTTATTTCTGAATTAAGCTGTTAATTACAAAAATAATAATACAAAAGTGAAGAGACTCCTTTTTTTTCTTTATTTTATGTAATTTTGTATATTAATATTTTGCAATATTAAAGAAGCAAACTTTTTTTTCTTACAAAAACTTATTTATTTTTCTAATTTATTATTAATTGTTCAATTTAATTTAACTATAAAGGCCACTCTCATCGCTAATGAGTCCATCGGACCTGGCCGGGAAGAACATCTAATGAATTTCTACCGAACATCCGGCACCCGTGAGACACTACCCTACGCGGTAATGAGATCCGCGTGAAGATGACTGGTAAGCGTCCGAGAGGTAGGCCGAAGCGAAAGTGGGAGGATTGTATAAAGGGTGATCTGGCGGTTAGGTATAGAAGGCGTTAAGTGGATGGATGTTTGTAGGCAGCGGTAGTATCGGCATCAAACCTTCGGGTTTGCTTAGTAATGTATTATAATTGTATACAAATATAGATACAGATACAATATACAGAGAGATACCCAGATCACGAGGCAGAATTATACTATGACCCACTATAAAAAAAATATTTCGTAAAAAAAAAAACCAAGAAAATAGGAGCATAGTGCCTTACTCATTGAGCTTCCTCCCTCTTAATAAAACAACTTGTAAAACTTTCATTATAAATTATTATTATTTTTACTGGGCATGGTAATAAAATATTTTATTATATGGATAAATAAAATATTTTGTCTATTTAATAGTTTTCAGATTTCATTACACAAGAAGATAAAGCGTTTGCGTTACTATAATAATATAATAAAATTATAATATCGACTAAATGCCTAATAAAAAAATAAATAGTTACATCCGAAGAAGGAGTTTAATGAATTAACTAAAATCCACAATTAATATTGATTGTAACTATCAATGGATGTGGCATTCAGTCCGTTATTATAGCCTTCATTCATTTATATTTTATGAAAACCATATTTCGTTACATATAATAATCTAATTCATTAATAAACTGATTAATAATATGATAATTTATATTATATTTGAAATATAATAACAAGCCTAATTCTGGTTACTCATTTACAATTTAAAAAATCATATGAATTTAGAAACAATAAAATACAGTTAAATTTATAGCAAAACTATAAACAATAATAAATCTTGCATTACAATGTGTAATACAGGAATTCTATTAACGGTAGTAAAATAAAACAGGAATTAAAGCAATAATCACATTATTAATACTCCATAAACCCAATCACGACACTATTAATTAATTTATTTCCATAAATAGAATACTGTATAAAATATATTATGGCTTAATTTCATACTATATTCTATACAGTATAAATATAGTAAGTTCATAAATATTATTTTAATATTTGTATTTCTGTGAATCATTCAGTTGAAGTAGAAATTTCTTGATCTTTTTAAATAGGAAATGCTAAACTATTAACCACATAACACATTTTATATATATTTTTGAAAATTGACATATTTTTAATAAGTAAATAATCATGAAAAAATTTCATCACATTTAATCCCAAATAAATAATAAAATTACAAATTTTATTAAATTACATTATATTAACATCAATATTAAAATTATTAACTTCATAATAAGAATAATTCACTGATATTAAAATATAATTATTTTTAATTGAATAATAAACTGGATTAAGCCGGTGTATATTCATTGTAATATTGTAAATATATTACACTAATTACAACATTTGTAATAAATAAAAAACAATTCTAGCGCGAATAATGGAAATAAAAACAATACAAGATAATAGATGTAATTTTGTTTGATAAATATTTTATACGGGATAAATATTTTATAATATAGGAGGGTGAAATTTGCTGCAAAATAATAAATCTACATATTTATTTATTTCTGAAAAGAACAAATGTACAATATCTTTTAAAAATAACTACGAATTATGATTAATTTATATATATATTTTTAAATTTATTTTTAGGAAAAACATTATTCAATTTATTTTTTTTTTTTAATTTTAAAATATATGAAAGAAATATTTCTTAGTAATAATCTAAAATTAAGATCATCCGTGTTTAAAGCGTATAGGGGTCGCTATGATTTTAACATCCCTTACTCACTTAATAAGTAAAAATAATATCAGATTTTTTGTTTGACGATAACATAAGATTTTATATATTTATAATTTTTAAAGATTATGTTTTGTTTTTGTATGTATCTGTACTGTATAAAGAATAGGATGTCCATTTTTGTATTTGTTCGGAGGAACTAATTTTACATAACTTTACGCTATTAAAATTTGTTCCTTACTTACTAAATTATTTAATGAAAAAATAGAGTTGGTGTCCTTAACCTTGGGAGCATAAAATAATTTTGCGATTTATAATAATAGGAAATTTGTGATAAATACCTGAGCTAGGTCTGTCGGAGTACCTGGTGCAATATACCCAGGCCGGCCAGACAGTTTCCTCGGACGTTTCGGGCGGCTTCTTGAGACCGAATCCAGGGCTGAGGATGTTCTCGATGCTGAAGCTGAGGCGAGCTGCCAATCTCGTCTCACCGCTCTCCACCATCATCTCTCCATCGGACGTCGACGGGCGGACCAGCCGGCACCGAATGGGGCTCCGCCGGGCGGCCGCGGGGTGGGGGGAGTCGCGGAGTGGGGATAGGCCACGCCCAAGGAGGCGTGGTCCGGACCAGCTAATTGCCACGCCCCCTCTGCCTCCCTCCTCCGATATCTTTTTCCGATCCGGCGAAACGCATTTTTTAAAAAGAAAATCCTCCATTTCTCAAATGGGGAAGTTAAAATGAGTCGTGTCGGCTCCAAACAAGGCCTGAGCTGAGACCGCTTCGTTTAAAATATTTCGATTAGCCTTCAAACTTTTTAAAGCTCAAGACACCGCACCCTCTAAATTAAGTCTGAAGGTGTTTGGATTAAACATCGTGATTTAAATTAAGAACAAACACATAACCCTCGTTTCGCTTCGCTCTGTCGGGTAAAAAAGATAAAGTTGATGTATCAATGACTAACTTTCACAATTATTATTTTAGCCTCCTTAAATATTAAAAAAGATTTTAATGTCATAAAATCTTAACTTAAAAATGGATTGGCGGAAATGAATAAATCATAAAATCCTAGAATATGTTGCTACATGTAATCATCTTTGAATGTAAACTAAATTTCAACAATAATAACATAGGCCACTAGCGGATCCAGGATTTAATTTTGGGGGGACTTCAGCCCGAAAGCTTTTTTTTTTCATAAAAATAACGATAATTACTTTGGAAAAAAAGAAAGAAACTAACTATTTATATGAAATGGTGTTTAAATGATTCCTAAAGCCCTTTTAAATGTAATTACACGAACAATAATACTTTAAGATATAATTCTTTAATATTTTTTTTGATAAAACATAGTTATATTTTACCATTTTTTTTTGGGGGGGGGAGGTCTTCAGCCCGAAAGACCCTCCCCCACCGTAGATCCGCCAGTGACATAGGCTGTAGTAAAATAATTGCGTACCTGCTTCTAGGCCATAGGTTAGCGGTCTAGTCGACTTTTCATATTTCCTCAATTGATTTTAGATTACAAATTTTATTCATTCCTATATAATAACCAATTGTTATTGATTTATTTATTTTTTAAATTTTTGTTCTGCGAAATATTGGAGGAAGGGCGAAACTATATTCTTGCCCCCCCCCTTCTGATGTCTGCGCCTTCTAGGCACTAGCGGATCCAGGATTTATTTTTTTTGGGGGGGGCTTCAGCCCGGAAGCTTTTTTTTCCATATACATAACGATAATTACTTTATAAAAACAGAAAGATACTAACTACCTATATGAAATGGTGTTTAAGTGATTCTTGAAGCCCTATTAAATGTAATTAAACGAGCAATAATACTTAAAGACATTTATTTATTTTATTTTTTTTATTTTTTTATTTTTATTTTTTTTTTGTTCTTCCCTACCTCGCCTTTTAGGCTATACGGGATTTTCCCGAATCGGGGGGTGAGGGCGGGGAATTTAAAATCCCCTCCGGCACCGGGACGCGAACTCGTACTTTTTATATCATCTCAAATCTCTGTTATCCGGTTGCCAGGCAACTAGCGGTGCTGTGCACACGCTTTAGCCTATTCGGCCACCCCGCCCTCTAAAATACTTAAAGACATATTGTTTTAATATTTCTTACCATAAAACATGGTTACATTTTACCATTTTGGGGAGGGGCTTCAGCCCGAAAGCCCCCTCTCCTCCTCCCCCCGTAAATCCGCCTGTGCTTCTGGGCATTTGGTACGAAGTTCTGGACCAATCCAAGAAGTCTCAATGAGTACAGTACTGAACTCAGGTGAATCTACAGGGGAAAGGCTTTCGGGCAGAAGCCCCCTCAAAATGGTAAAATATAACCATGTTTTATGGAAAAAAATATTAAATAATTATCTCTTAAAGTATTACTGTTCGTGTAATTACATTGGAGTAATATCGTTATACAGGGTGTTTCAGAGTTAAGTGGCCAAACTGCAAAAATTAACCAAGGACCTCAAAACAAGAAAAAAATTTCCCCTGAAGATGTGTCCGCAAACGTTTTGTTTAGGAGATATTCACACCTAAAGGTTTTTGTTGTTATGAATTATTTACGTTATATTAAGTAAATAAAACTCATTTATTTGTTCCAACTACTTTATTAATTAAACGTAAACATTAAATGTTGTTCAAAGTGATTTCCTTGAGCATTAAGACAGGCTCGGCATCTTTCTTCAACAGCAGCAGTGGCAGAACGGCACTGGATATGTGTTATTGTTTCACAAGATTCAATTAACCCTTCTTCGTAAGAAATTAAGGTCATTGATCGGACTTGCATAGACTTTTTGTTTAATGTCACCCCAAACTAAAAAATCTGGTGCGCTCAACACACAACTTTCACTTACCACTCTACTTTGAATATAAATTATTTTATGGCAATGCTGGGATATTATAAAATTTTTTGAAGTGCATTTTAAACGGAGCTAAAGCAATTAAAATTGTAAAAAGTCTATTTATTATATCGACGGTAGGCAATAAAAATCTAGTCACTCCATCTGCTTTTATAAACCACACAACTTTCTTTGCTTTTATAAACCACAGAATGACTAACTCCAATTTCAACATTTTAGTGATATTTTTAGTTGAAAAAGTTATCTATGCAGACAAAGAGTAAGTTGACTACATGATTGCAGTGTTGAAATATAGAACTGAGAATAAAGGTTTAAATTTAGGTACTTATTTCTAATGAAAGATACGATAAAAGAGGTTTGTTTAGTCTCCACAATTAAAAAAGTATAATTTAAATTTTCGCCTCTTCCGGGATAAAATCTGTTTTTACGATATATTTTGAATTTTCATCTCAAAAAAAAAAAAATAAAATATCCTTTCAGATGACTTACTATTAGACACTAGCACATTTATACAACAAATAATAACATTAAAAAATGAATATTAACCAATAAACAACATGTATTGTATCTAAAAAACGCTGCAAATTATTCCACAATGGTTTATTATTTTTTAATAACAATTATATATCTAAAGTATCATTACCTTCCTAGTTAAAAATAAAAGGTGGTTCCAATTAGTGGACTTAACTTTTTTTTTAATCATTAGTAATATGCTAAAACAATTATCATTACCTAAGTAACACATTCAAAATTCAAAAACCAAAACAAAAGATATAACCTTTGCAGCAGAACATATTAAAAAAAAAAAAAACTAGAGACCATATCTTTCCTCCTAATTGTCCGATTTTAACATTTTTTTTTTTTTTTTAGAAAATTCCGTAAACTTTAAAAGTGTAAACTTGTTGAGTTATTCGGAATTTAATTTTACAATCCCTCGTAACTTTTTTCCAGCTTCTTTTCGTTGAAGTATGTTATATAGATAAATTTAAAGGGTGTCGAGAAAATGACTTTAGCGAAGTTTCATTGAAATCGGTACATTCGTTCAGGCGCTGCAGTCTATAGCAACGCAGGTTTTTCTACATTTTTATTTATTTTTATTAACTTATCAAAATCTTTCAAAAATTATATTTAGCATTTCTTCGTAACTCTGAGTAATGTGAAATGATTAACTTTTTTATATAAAACATATTAAAAGTACTTTAGATTAAGACGTATATGGTCATTTAAGCCTTGTAAAGTGACATCAAGGAGGATAAGACCTAATTGGTATTAAAGATTACTTCATTATACAATGATACACCGAGTTTAATCAAATTCGTTTGAGCCGTTTTTGAGAAAATTATAAAAATGTGTTTCAGCGTTGACATAAAGTAGCACTTCCGGTCAGTAGATTTTGAGGAAAAAGTTGCTGTCACATCTAAGGTATATACCTATCTTAAATACGTAATATCAGTTTCGTACGACTTTTCGTCTTTGAGCTAGACTGCTAACATAGAAACACACAGACCATTTTTCGGGACTTGGTCCTTTCGACTCAGGGTACCTCAAAACCAGTATTTCCGTTGAAAACTCAGATTAAAAAATTTTCTCGATCGCAATACTTACCCTTACTATATATTACATATATACGTAAATGACAGTAAAAAGGGTTAGGGTCAATTTTGTGTCTTCTTTAAGGCGGTCACGTTTTTTTATTGAATATGAAGCTATTGCTCAAAAACTATTCAAAATAGTTAAATTATATAGTTGACTAACGTACAGCAGACAGAGCTTTCTTTGAAAAAAAAAACAATGATCAAATTGACCAAGGTCAATGATAAAGGGGACTTTCAGATCTAATACGACAGCTATACTGCCGCGGACTAGCGGATTCAGGATTTAATTTAGGGGAGGCTTCAGCCCGAAAGCATTTTTTTTTCATAAAAATAACGATAATTACTTAAAGAAAGAAACTAACTACCTATATGAAATGGTGTTTAAGTGATTCCTGAAGTCCTTTTAAATTTAATTACACGAACAATAATACTTTAAGAGATGATCTATCCTATATATTATTTCTAAAAGGTGTTTTTTTTTTTGTCGGTACGCCATAACTTCGTCAATTCTTCATCAAATCCAATGATTAGCCACTCGTTTTGAAGATTTTCTGCTCCTTCTCAGGCGAAAAATAGTAATATCCTCCCGAAATTTCTGGGAAAAAAGTTATGGAAGAAAAGAAACTTTATTTGCGAATGACTTTAGGAGTAGCTTTAGTAATTTGCATTTAGGAGTAGAATAGTCTACTACTAATTTTTTTATTTCTTATTGACATTTGGTTGTTCTTACATGTTTTTTTTTTTTTTTATATAATTTAGAATATCCTATGATCGGGGTATTATTTTGTCTTTATTACTTTTATTATCTTTCCAGTCAGCGTTTAAAACTAGGTCCTAGCAAAGCAATTTGTATAAATATTTTGGTGTATTATGTTTAATGAAATATTGTAATCGGCTAAGGAAAAAATATTAATTCCTTTCTTACATAATACATAGGAACTACTTATTTCCATATTGTTTTAATATTTCTTCACTAAACAAAATTATCTGCGAATTTTTCGCACGGGCCAACTAGTTTTTTAATATTTTTTTCCATAAAACATGGTTATATTTTACCATTTTGGGGGAGGGGGGCTTCAACCCCAAACCCCCCTCGTAGATCAGCCCGTGCTGCTGCGTACGAATCGGTTATACAGATATATGCCGCTCCTGTATGAGAACTGTTACAGCAGCAGTAGAGTGATCGTATTGGATCTCCTGCAAGTCCCTTTTATCATTGTCTTTAACAAATAAGAACATTTTGTCTACTTTACGATGGTG